CTACTACAGTACAAAAATCAATAGGATTTCTGTTTGACCATATTTATATCATTTGTGTTTTGAAGAAAAAATGAGCTCAATATTTTAAGCATAGTCCTAAAAAACACCTTCAATAACTATAGTGTAAACAGAAAAAAATATATCTGGTGAAAAAAAGACAGAACTTATGAGATGGTAAAAAATTAGGAATGATTATAGTTTAAAAAATTGTGTGTGGTTAAAAGGAAAGCAAACAATTAGAAGCACCAGTTGATTCTTTTTCCTTTAAAAATAAAATAAGGATGAGACATAATGATAAAAATGAATTATTTTGGGTACGTATTAGTCTTTAACAACAGAACTCAATTCTACATATTATATAAAATATAATTGTTATTTAATATACTTCTATTTTGCTCCCTTTTTGCAGAAGCCTGTGGTATGCACCATAGGCATGGTAGTTCTCTTTCTGTACACTAGAGGGAAGTGTGACATAATTACTTCGGAGGGGAGTGGGCAAATTGATGTCTGGGAGGATACATTTTCTATCACTGGTCTTAGACACCTTGTTTTTCCCTTATTAGCATAAGATAATATCTAATTAGTATTAGTCTATAAACCATACTACTTTTTTTCTTGGAATTTTTTATTCTCTTGTTTTTACCTTATCATAAACCTCAAGTAAGCAAAACTTAGGATTTTCTTTGAATCAGTATTCAATGAAAAAAAAAGCCATAGATTTATGATATTAAAATAGTAATGATTAATAGATGAGTGTGTAATCACCAATCTTTGTTTAAGTTAGCTGTGGTTTTTAAAGCCTCAAAGCTTTACCTTCCAAAGTATAGATGTTGGGACAGAAGTACCAACCCCGAAGAGATGTAAAGATCAGGTTTCACAAGGCAGTATGGTTAAACATTAACTGAGCACAAAACAGTCCAGATTTCTGCAAAGCTCTAGCTCCCTTGCTTAGCAAAGGTATATGCATGCCAAACTATATATTAGAGAAAATGCAATGCCATTTTAGGATTTGAAGTTCTGGTTGTTAAGAGCTTCTCCTTAAATTTTTCAACTGTTAAAGATATTCTCTTAAGGGAGTGATGAATTTTGCATCCAAATCTGACTGCAAATCCAGACTATAGATAATATCATTGAATCCCTGGGAAATAAATAACTTTAGAAAACCTGAATGTTTAAACAATTATGCCAACAATAAGCATCAGAACTTTCTTGTAATTGGTCTGGATTTGATTTTCCTTGAATCCTGAATGATTCATGTTACAGACTTGTATATTAGTCATTCACAATTTATAAATGGCAACTTAACTTTAGTATTTATGAATTGAGATCAATACTCTAGCAATCAAAACACTCACCTTTTCTATTTCAATACTTTATTTTTTTTTCATTCTTAACTCTTTCCAAGAATGGCTGGATGACGAGCAAAAGCAGTCTTCACTTGTGCATGTTTCTTACAATAGTTTGAGAAGAAAGAATCTCTGAGATTAGGTACTGAAATTGGAGAAGTCAATGAATCTGGAGTCTCCCTCTGTCCCTTTCTTCACCCCCCCACACACCCCGTCACTCCCAACATCTCCCCCTCCGTTCCCCCAACCTCGAGTATGTGTGTTTGTGTGTGGTGATGGTGGTGTTATTTACAAAACATGAATCTTAACAGATCTCTCACTGATCTTCATTCATGTTCATGGTTTAGCTTCTGTGCATAAGAGCTTTGGCAAATGTGGTTATCAATACTTTGTCTTAAGGAGATAAAATTTAAATTGCCCTATGGAACTTTAATAACAAACTTGAGGCGAACAAAATAGCAAACCTACTGCGTGTGGGTGGATGCGTGTCCACTTTACCTTGAATCTGGACTGAGCGGTGGGTGGCTGAAAAGGGTGGAGTCCTAAACATTATTAGCCAGATACGAGTTTTAACAAGATACAAAGCTTGAATGGACAGGGAGCATTTCTCCTTAAAGGAGATACACTTATCCTCTGGGGAGACACGGCCTCTCGGCCTTCCGCTGGGCTTCTACTTTTCTTCTGAAACACTTTCATAATCAAGTGACTTTCCTTGCATGGGTGCTTCGGGGCCGCTGATTTTTCTCCGAGGATAAAGAAAGTTACATACTGATTGCTGTTGCTCGCGTTGTGTCTGCACCAGCGCGGGCAGAAGTGGGTGCGCACGAGCGTCCTAGCATTCACACACTCACTGAATACACATCACACTCCCCCCACCCAACTCACACCCCCATGAACACACGCGCGCGCGCGCACACACATCCTTCTGCACCTCATTCGGACTGGTACACAAGCAGCAGAAATCCAAGCATCCCTTAATATATATGGGTGTGTGTGTAGTGCCGGGTGTGTGTGTGTGTGTGTGTGTGTGTGTGTGTGTACAAAAGTGTGTGTGTGTGTGTGTGTGTGTGTGTGTGTGTGTGTGTACAAAAACCCACCAGGGAGATCGCAGCTACCTTATTCTGCAAGCAAACTGCGATTCCGGTTCCTGTGTACAGCGGACAAAAATAAATAAATAAATCGCTGTCGAACTTTTTTCTCCTTTAATCCTCTCTTTTCCAGAGGATGACGGTGAAGGACCTTCCTCCCCTAGTACTCTAATAATCGGGAGATCCAACGAAGAGGCCCTAGGCATCACAGCGGCAGCGGAGCACGAGGGCTCCGTTCGCCCCGCCGGTCTCCCATCTAACTGATCTAATCAATGACTCTGAAGCGCTGGGGTTCCTGGCTCCGCCTCCACCGGTCTCCACTCTCCCTTCCATTGGGCGCGGGCCGAGGGGGCAGGGCTTTGCTCCTCGCGCGGATTGGCTGGCAGGGAATCAGTATCAATGTTTAAGCCGCGGCGTGAGCTGAATAGAGTCAGTCAGCAAGAGGCGCTGGGGTGAGAGCAGGCACTGCGAGCTCGGCGGCTGCGGCAGCGGCAGCGGCGGAGGGTGGCTGCGGAGACGCTACTCCAACTGTTGAATTTTCGCCTCCTTTCCTTCGGTGCTTTGCTTGCGGAGATGGATGTATTTGCTTTGAAATTCTCACGTCTTTCGCAGACTGTGAGCTGATTCTGACAGGCACCAGATTGAAAGAGACCACCCGTGACAGAAAAGGAGGAAAGAAAATCACCCTCCACAACGAACTGCACAATTAACTATGCACACCGGGGCTGGACTTTGTGAATAAAGAACATTGGGAGGAAAATCGTGAACTATGATGCGGGGCTAAGCTGTGAACACTCACTGGAATCCTGCTTTCCCGCCTCCCCAAAGACTCTGAAAGATTTTGGGGTTCCTCACGCTTAACCAAAAGGAAAGGGTTTTTTTTGTTTTGTTTTGTTTTGTTTTTTAAATAAATAAATACACCTAGCAAAACAGACGCCTTATTTTTCCCGAGACTTGGACCCCGGCAGAGAGAGGTAGAGTAAAAGTGCTGCTGAATTCAGCTTCACCTTCCTCCTTTCCTCCCTTCCTTTCTCTCGCTTTTTCCTTTTTCTCCAAAACAAGAGTCTGGCTTTCCTTTCTATGGAGTGAGTCAGAGAAAGCGTTAGGAAGAAGCCGCAACTAATGTCTGTGGAGGGAGGACCGAGAGGAGAGAGTGAATACGATTCGTTCCGCTGCCTCTGACTCATCCGGCAGATCCGAACACCTGCATTTCTGGATGTGTCATTCCCGTAGGTCTAGGCGCCTCGAGAACCCGAAATAATGTGTAGACAAACCTGTGCCTAACACCCCCTCGGAGGCAGCTCCCTGGGGTGGGCGCCCCTGGCTGGACCCGCGCGGCCTCAGCGCCTCGCCCCCTGCCCTCCCGAGTCGTCCAGAGACTGTGAGAGCGAGACTGCAGAATGCATCATGCCAAACCTTGAGGTGTTTTTTATTTTTTCATCCAACCCCCTCCTACTATTTTAAAAAAAAGAAAGAAAGAAAATTTGAAGGGAAAAACACGCACTTTATTCTCTTCAAATATTCACCACTTTTATCCCTCGCCCCGGTTTTCCTTTCTCGATGAAGAGGACTGGGAGACAGGGCCATTGGAAGGAGATGCTGAATAGAAAGAAAAGAGAGGCACTTGACAGCCCAGCCCTGTGAATGCAGAGACTGTTTCCTTCTAGCGAGAGACAGGGAGAGTGTGTGTGCGAGGACTGGGAGGTGGCTCCCCCTTCCTTTTTATTCCGCCTCCCCCACCCCCTTCAAATCTGCACATTCAACCATGAGTTGCCTGTTGATTTCCTTTCGCCTGAGAAGCAAAGCAAGCTGGAATTAAACTGCAGCGAGAGAAGTCCTTGCTCGCGGGGAGAGAATGGGATGGTAGCGGCGGTTCCTGGCTTCGCGCAGAGAAATCAGAGTGTGTGTTCTCCCCACAGAGGCTGAGACACCTCGGTACAGTCCCCCCTCCCGATAGACTCCCACGGCAAACGCTGATCAGGCTGTGGCTTTCCTGACTTCAGGGGAGAGCCTTTTCGGAAAACGAGAGGGAGGAGCTTGGTGGAGGAAGGAAACTACAAATCGGGACACTAGTTCTTTGCGCTGCATTTCCTCCCCTCCCTGTGGCTGCTCGGAACAGAGAGAGAGAGAGAGAGAGAAAGAGAGAGAGAGAGGGGGGTGAAAAAAAAAAAAAACCGCTTGGCTGGGAGATGCAGTCCGCCGCCGCCGCCGCCTCAGCCAGAAATGCAAGATTAGATCTCTAAATGCAGCAAAACACTGCCTGAAAACAGACCAGCCCGGGAAGCAAGCAGACAGACATTTCAACATTTCACAGCGCTCCGGGGAAGCTTCGAAATCTATCTGACTCTCTCTCCGCTGTTCCCCATCCCCATCAATTTCATCACTGGAGGCGGCAGAAACAAGTAAGGATTTCACTTTCCTATCTGCCTGGAGACACACCTCCCTGCTCCCTCCCCCCACCCAATGTGAAGTGTGTTCCCGAGGCTACAGGCGGGAGTGGATTTGCAGCGCCCTAGCGGGAGCGAGGATATCCTACGGATTCTCGCCTCATTATCACCAGTCTCGATTTACTTCTTATCACCGGCATCGTCGCTCAAGTTTGAGTCGCCCCAAGTCCGGGCGGCAGAGACAAAGCCCCGAGCTTGCCCCCAGACGCAGGGAGCCTCCGCCTTGCTCCGTGCCCCTGCAGCTCCGCTGCGCTGCTGTTTCTCGCCCAGTGCGGATGCTGTAGATCAACAGGTTCGGGAACTTAGCGGATAAGGAGAGACTGCCGGGTGCCGCAGCCCGGGAGCGGAGGAAGGAAGGACCCACCGCCTGTGTCTGGCTTCGCCCCCGCAAGGAGCGCGGGGGCTCCAGGCTGGCTCGCACCCATTCTCTCGCCCCTCCAGTCCGGTTGCTCCTGCTCCCACCCCACCGGTCTGGGATGTACCTTTCCATCTGTTGCTGCTTTCTGCTCTGGGCCCCTGCCCTGACGCTCAAAAACCTCAACTACTCCGTGCCGGAGGAGCAGGGGGCCGGCACGGTGATCGGCAACATCGGCAAGGATGCTCGACTGCAGCCCGGGCTTCCTCCCGCAGAGCGCGGCGGCGGCGGGCGAAGCAAGTCCGGTAGCTACCGGGTGCTGGAGAACTCGGCGCCACACCTGCTGGACGTGGACGCCGACAGCGGGCTCCTCTACACCAAGCAGCGCATCGACCGTGAGTCCCTGTGCCGCCACAACGCCAAGTGCCAGCTGTCCCTCGAGGTATTCGCCAACGACAAGGAGATCTGCATGATCAAGGTGGAGATCCAGGACATCAACGACAATGCGCCCTCTTTCCCTTCGGACCAGATTGAGATGGACATCTCAGAGAACGCGGCCCCTGGCACCCGATTCCCCCTCACCAGTGCACACGACCCCGACGCGGGTGAGAATGGGCTCCGCACCTATCTGCTCACGCGCGACGACCACGGCCTCTTCGCGCTAGACGTCAAGTCCCGCGGCGACGGCACCAAGTTCCCAGAGCTGGTTATCCAGAAGGCACTGGACCGCGAGCAGCAGAACCACCACACACTCGTACTGACTGCCCTGGATGGCGGCGAGCCGCCGCGTTCCGCCACTGTGCAGATCAACGTGAAGGTGATTGACTCCAACGACAACAGCCCAGTCTTTGAGGCGCCCTCCTACCTGGTGGAGCTGCCCGAGAACTCCCCCCTGGGCACCGTGGTCATTGATCTGAATGCCACTGACGCCGACGAGGGTCCCAACGGCGAAGTGCTGTATTCCTTCAGCAGCTACGTGCCCGACCACGTGCGGGAGCTGTTCTCCATCGACCCCAAGACCGGCCTGATCCGCGTCAAAGGCAACCTGGACTACGAGGAAAATGGAATGTTGGAGATCGACGTGCAGGCCCGGGACCTGGGGCCCAATCCCATCCCTGCCCACTGCAAAGTCACTGTCAAACTCATCGACCGCAACGACAATGCGCCGTCCATCGGGTTCGTCTCTGTGCGCCAGGGGGCGCTGAGCGAGGCCGCCCCGCCAGGCACCGTCATCGCCCTGGTGCGGGTCACTGACCGAGACTCGGGCAAGAACGGACAACTGCAGTGCCGGGTCCTGGGAGGAGGTGGGACGGCCGGCAGCGGCGGCCTGGGCGGGTCGGGAGGTTCTGTGCCCTTCAAGCTTGAGGAGAACTACGACAACTTCTACACGGTGGTGACTGACCGCCCTCTGGACCGGGAGACACAAGATGAGTACAACGTGACAATCGTGGCGCGGGACGGGGGATCCCCTCCACTCAACTCCACCAAGTCGTTCGCGGTCAAGATTCTGGACGAGAACGACAACCCGCCTCGTTTCACCAAGGGACTCTACGTGCTGCAGGTGCACGAGAACAACATCCCAGGAGAATACCTGGGCTCGGTGCTCGCCCAGGACCCCGACCTGGGCCAAAACGGCACAGTGTCCTACTCCATCCTACCCTCACACATAGGCGACGTGTCCATTTACACCTATGTATCTGTGAACCCCACCAACGGGGCCATCTACGCCCTGCGCTCCTTTAACTACGAGCAGACCAAGGCTTTTGAGTTCAAGGTGCTTGCTAAGGACTCAGGGGCGCCTGCACACCTGGAGAGCAACGCCACTGTGAGAGTGACAGTGCTAGACGTGAATGACAACGCGCCGGTGATCGTGCTGCCCACGCTGCAGAACGACACCGCTGAGCTGCAGGTACCGCGAAACGCTGGCCTGGGCTACCTGGTGAGCACTGTGCGCGCCCTTGATAGCGACTTCGGCGAGAGCGGGCGCCTCACCTACGAGATCGTAGACGGTAACGACGACCACCTGTTTGAAATCGACCCGTCCAGCGGCGAGATCCGCACGCTGCATCCCTTCTGGGAGGACGTGACTCCTGTGGTGGAGCTGGTGGTGAAGGTGACTGACCACGGCAAGCCTACTCTGTCCGCGGTGGCCAAACTCATCATCCGCTCGGTGAGCGGCTCCTTGCCCGAGGGGGTTCCCCGGGTGAACGGTGAGCAGCACCATTGGGACATGTCACTGCCGCTCATCGTGACTCTGAGCACTATCTCTATCATCCTCCTAGCGGCCATGATCACCATCGCTGTCAAGTGCAAGCGAGAGAACAAGGAGATCCGCACTTACAACTGCCGCATTGCCGAGTACAGCCACCCGCAGCTGGGCGGGGGCAAGGGCAAAAAGAAGAAGATCAACAAAAACGATATCATGCTGGTGCAGAGCGAGGTGGAGGAGAGGAACGCCATGAACGTCATGAACGTGGTGAGCAGCCCCTCCCTGGCCACCTCCCCCATGTACTTTGACTACCAGACCCGTCTGCCCCTCAGCTCACCCCGGTCGGAGGTGATGTATCTTAAACCAGCCTCCAACAACCTGACTGTTCCTCAGGGGCACGCGGGCTGCCACACCAGTTTCACCGGACAAGGGACTAATGCGAGCGAGACCCCTGCCACTCGGATGTCCATAATCCAGGTAGGAGACTTTTAGCATAACTGGGACTTCACTTTATTGCTGGTTTGGGAGTTGTCCTGAAACCTTTGGTACAGGACAAGCCGCACTGCCAGCAGCAGTGAGAGGGGGTTTCTTTTTATTAATGAAAGTGGTTTACAATTTTGCCACCGCCTGTACAACATTATCTATACTTAACCTCTCCCATGTAAATAGTCTAAAATCTGCAAGATGTAAATGTCTTACTTTTGTTGAGTTTTTAAAGTTTATTTTTGTAGGTTTAAAAATGTTAGCAGTGTTTAGTATTCATAGTTTATTTTACTTTGTTTTTGTTTGATGGTCTACATTTTTCTATATGAAAGGATTCCCAGAGTACTTAATTTACTTTTAAGGTGAATTTAATTCCATTACAAAATATGATGCCAAATGAAAATGTGCACCCAAATATTAAGACATTACTCGAAGCACAACATAGCACACAGTCAGAATTCCAGAACCTTAATCAATTTGAACTAAGTTTTCACCCCCCACCAGTCAAGCTTTATATTTAAAAAATGTTTTAAAGGACATGAATTTTATTTATTCTTTAGCTGAAACTGCAGTATAATGCATTAAATTTTTTAAGCTCTGGAAATGTGAAATATGCTTTGAAGATCTTTAAAAAGTTTGAATATATGTAGACTCTGGATGGAGTAATTATCTATGAAAAGTTTAAATTTATTTTGTTCTATGGTTTTCCTGATCTATTTTCTGAGTGTCATTGAGGAAAGAAGAAAGTTCACAAGAGGGTCACAGACTCATTTTGGGCTGTTGAAAACAGAAGGGAAAGTTGCACTAAAGGCACTTGTGCCAAAAAGGAATTCAGGATGCATTTAGTTTGCATACTGTGTATTTTCTTTATATCTCAGTGATATTTAAAATGTATTAGATAGTATCACTCATAATTACTGATATATGAAAAAACTGACCCAGAATGGACATAGATTCTAATAACAGCAGGTAACTGTACTGTGTCTAGCCACTGCCAAGTTTCTTTTATCCACTATTGAGTTGTGTCACAGATAAACTTAATTCTTGCTTATTATAAATGTGTGTTGCTACAAATTACTCTGGATGTGCGGTACTTGAAATTCAAAATTGAGTTTAATGAGAAGTGACACTTAGAGAGAAGGATTAGTTTGGAGCAAATGAAAATAATTTGTTCATTATTTGTGCTTTGAAAGACAAATACCTTTTAATGACAGTTAACTAAGTAATGTTTTTATTATTAAAATAGTTTTAAAATTTTAGTCTTAAACTTTTTGAGATAAGTATAACAAATACTGAAACTTAGCAAAACATATTTTCTTACAATAGTATTATGTCCTTGTAAAACAGACTCTTGTACTTGATGCTACTGAATACTAAAATATAAATTGTAGTAATATTAAATTCCACTTTTTACAGTGTTTACTGTATACCAGTAATTATGAATATTTGACATTTATATAAAACTAAACAAGAAATTCCTCACTTAAAAAGTTGTCGTTTCTATGAAAGTCTTTCTGTGATTGTGTAAAACTGGTATTTATAATCTCTTTAGAGGGAGATATATTAAAACATATGTATAGATCTTTTACAGTCATTTTACAAATACACATGTTACATACCTTTCTTTTTATTTTTACCATTGACAATTACAATTATATCACAGAGGGTTACTACTTGATCTTCTACTTCAAGTTCTATCAGTTGAATTCTTAGAGTCCATGTAAGAATGAAGTTGGTGCAGTCGAATTCTCAGCAAGCCTGATTCTTTGGAGATATTAGTGAGGAACAATTTGGATGGAACTATCAAGGAGGTTTTGAGAGATGGGGTGCTCATATTGTATTTATATCATACCATTCTTGCAGCTGATCATTGCTTGATGGATGGATGGTTAATGATTCTGATGATGATGAAGATGATGATGATAGTGACAATTGCTCTCATTAGCAGTAAAACTTGAGCTAAAGGAGATCACACACATATACACACAAACACATACATAGAAAGAGAGGGGGAGAGAGAGTTTAAATAGAAAACAAAAGGTCAAATTTCCTTGTCATTCCTTTTCTTCTAGAATCTTAATTCATACCATAAGACACACAAAAAATTGTTTTAATTATTTCAATTTTTTTCTTCCAAAGTGGCTCCATTTCCCATATTGCTCTTGCTCTGGCCTGGAAATATCTTCAATATAAATTGTTAAAATAGGATCTATTTTTTTTTCTACTGAGTTTTTGCAATCCTGGAAGGATGCTCTGTAAATTCTTAATACATTAATTTTCTTTTAAATGTATCAGATTTTTTCAAAAAAATTATTATAGAGAACAGGGCAAATTGACTACAGTGACCTGTTTTTTTTTTCTTTTTTCAAACTAGCGTGCTACAAATAATTTGTCTCAAGTTATATGTTTAAATTAAAGTGTTTGGGTATCCCATAATCTTGTTTCAAGTGCATTTATTAGTGGATATATTTAACAAAGCCTGCAGTGGAAACACACTATTAACCTTATGTGTATTTCTAAAAGAAGAATTTTAATCCATCAGAGTGCACTTGGACTAGCAGGTATTGCATCTAGTTTACTTTATTTTCCAGCATCTTGTGCACTGTTTGAAGGTGTACAGTACAATTCTATTGATGGAATAAAAAGAGTGTCATAATTGTTTGAGATACACTGGTAGAGAGCAATGACATGGAACTTAGAAATTTCATGATCTTTAAGACTCCTGTTACAGCTCATATTAAGATTTGTCTAAGCATCAAAAATTTTGTGTGAGTCGCAGGGCCTAAAATTTTAAGGTCACAATCTGTAGGTTTTGGATATAATGGTATTTTTATTGACTGTGGATGGAGAACAATTATGTAAGCTAATGTAGAAAGAGTGGTTTGTGAGATTTTATTTCAGGTTTTTAAGAGATTTAATTTCAACTTTCTCAGCTGAAATAATGACAGTTTATGAAGTCCTTGAACAATGGGCTAGTGATTCAAATATACTCAGTAGTGTGACTTATAATAAAAGAGTGTTGTAATGAAATATCTTATTCATTTTAAAGATATAATATTTTGAAAAATAGGAGTACGGAGTTTGTGGTAGATCAGACAAATAGATTGTTATACAAGTTTATAAAAGCACTTTTCATAGGAGCAATTTCCACATGCATTATTCTATATGTTAATAAGAGAGTCTAAAAATAAACAGAGATCATCACTAATTGTCATGAGTAACTAACTGCTAGTCCTGGCTCATCAAGAATTATTTAAGACTCAGAAAAAACTTCTCAACAGGTGTTTTCAACCAGGGCTTCAATGAGAAAAGGGAGAAGGCTAGGGGCTTCTTACTAGTGGGAGTATTTCTAGTTCTGTTTGAACATCTGTGTTTTCAAATTTTTTGGTGGTACCACTACTAGTCATTTTAATATGCTTCCAGAGAAGAAAATACGTTGAGCCAGCAGAATAAGATCTACTGAAATAAATTTTTAAAGGAATTCATTCTTATACAGTTTTTACAATATAAATTTGAAAGATTCACATTAGGGTTGACTTTAGATTCTTTATGTTAGAAGAGAAAATCCTTTTGATATATGTGTATGGTGTTTTCAATAAAAGGGAATTAAATACATGGTAAATGTATAAAAATAAAATTGAGACTTAGAAGGCTAAATTATTATAACACAGACAATAAACAGTGTTTTAGAATAAAAAGGTGAAAGAAAAATTGTACCTTTACTAGGCATATTTTCATTAAATGCCTTTATTCCCTTGTCTCTAATCTCTAAAAGAATCTTAAAAATAGGAATTCAGTTGAGTTCACTAGATCATGATTTTAAAACTTCACTCTCCAGTATGTTAGCAATTTCAGTAACAAACACAAAGTGTGTGAATATTTTTTTTCTTCATTTATAGCTTTGAGGGTATTTTCCTGCAATGTTATTCTAAAACAGCACAGTTTGATTAGTTACATGCAATCATTTCCATAAATTTCATATAAATCTCTATTTTTAGGGGTTATATTTGGCTGAGTAAAAGGAAAATGCTTCCTACTACATGCCTACAGGAGTGTCTTCTACACTTGCCATTAAAAAAATTTAAAGATAGGATTAATTCCTACTTTAAATTAATATGAGCACATAATCATAGAATTTTATTTTTCTGTTTTACTGTGGTACAAGTAAGTCCAAATGAACTTATTTAAAAAGTTAATCAGCCATTGAAGTGTTTTGACTTTCTTTACAGAAGAGTTTAAAATGCAAATTATTATTGACCATCATTCTTAATGTATTGTTACTTTTACTCTTAGTTTTGTGTTTATTCATGAAAATATGAGTTTCAGTATAAATATATGCATTTCTCAATTATACAATAAATGAAACACAAAAACTGTACTTTTCAATTATATGAACTAGAAACCAGAAAATCGTATTTTGGATATTAGTTGATATTGATACTCATAAGGTAATAATGTCTTCATTAGTTTTTAGTTTTCAATAAAATTTTCAAAATATTAGCTGAGATGAATACCAGTTCATTACACTGAGATGATAATTTATCAGTCTTTTGTAAATGTAAAAGTAAAATAATTTTCAACTTAACTTGGGTTCTATAAGTGAGTTCTATAATTTTACTTGATTTCTGTGAGTGAATTTTATAATTTTACTTGCACTCTAGGAGTGAATTTTATAATTTCATTAACTATCATATATAAGCCTACATGGAGGATTCTGGAATATTATTCGTGGCATCTTCATGTTATTTAAGGCTTTGTGTAATCATGAAAAATATAAGGTCATAGAAAAATATTCCCTACAATTCCGACTCAACTACTTGAACATATTTTTTAGTCAAGGAAAAAATATATATGTTTTAAATATTTCCTATTGCCTGTGACTATATGGATCAAGCCACATCAAAAAAAGTCCTATTTTCAAGAAAATTTTCTTTATAAAGTTGATGGTATAGTATGCATTATTCATCTTTTTACAATGCGTAGACACAGGTTGA